CTCTCGTTTCTCAGTCTCTTATGTTTGTGTCTGGGAAAATATGGCTTATAGGGATTTTCACAGCAATGCAAAAAACCACACATCAAGAAGAAGGTTCCTCCAAATCCAACCACTCTACTAATGTGCCATCCTCCTTCAGCTTGTCGCTTATCCTCAAATAGATCATACATTTTTTAGTATGTTGAGAATACCGTTTCTACTCATGCTCTTTGGTGTACTTAGTTTTCCTAATAAGTCTCTGTGTCGTTTTTTTCACCCTTCCCGTTAGTAATTTGTACCCGCAACTACGAGATCCTTTGTTCACGGCACCAGGATATTTCTTCTCTTTTCTACTTATGGTGGACCTGCTCATAAATGGAGGTTTTCGGATCTCAGACTTAGGTGCATTATTTCCCGATGAGTTGCGACAGCTAAGTATCAAAGAAAGAGATTTACACAATCTTAAAATGTTTACTATAATTTTCACAATGAACATTACAGATAGAGAATGCACACCAATACAATACATTAAACAAACCTATAGAGCAAGCGACCGTGTGTTTGTGTATGTATGCGACTGACAAGAGCCGAAGAATAATATAAAATAGAAGGTCTTTACAGTACCTATAGATCTCCCTGTAAATTAAAATAAGAAAATCCTAACTGAAAAAGTTCCCCAAGTTAAATGTCACGTTACTATAATATATATATAAATAGTATATATGAAACCCAAGATCTTACTTGGATTTCACCAATGAAGTAAGTTTCAAACAAAACACTTTAAACCTTAAGTTGTGGAGCCAATGCTACTAAATTCGTTCTCTCTTATCATGAACCAACGCTAATAAAACACAAACGTGAATAAACATGACAACAGCACGCGAGAACAATAAGAATGAACGAGGGGCATGTTTACGAGTCGTTCGAACTCTTGAAATTAATTATGAAAGTACAGAGAAAATTTGATAGAAGCCGAAAGTTAATGCTAGATACTTACTGGAATACAACTATGAAAAACAGTATAAACTCAAGGATAACAGAAAACTATGTAATCCATGTTGAAAGTTATATTAAAATCTATGTAAAACCCGTATAAGTTCTTTTCTACCAAGCCTGATACTGTATTAAATTGAATATTTCAACATACCTTAGTTTCTGACCAGAAAACAGTTATTGGGTTTTGACCGATCCGCTGGCCAACAGAAAATGAAGACCAAGGACGATTCCATTCCCAACTATTTTAATTCTCACTTAGCCTTGTTTGCCTTTTAAGGAAAGGGAATTAGTATAGATATAAATAACACTAGATTGGCCAGTTACTATTCCTTATCATTGAGGGGCATGTGCGCTTGCGGTCTCCATTGTTTTGTGTTGAATTTCGAACTGTCAAACAATGTAAAATGGCTGAGAGTGACAGTCGTTCGTCTAAGTCACGATCCGAAGGATTAAAGGGAACACAACTACGCCATTAACTATTACACATACCGTAACTAAACGTCGAAGGTAGAGGGTGTTACATTCCACAAGGGAGTAAAATCTTTTTCTTTTTTTTCTTCTATAGTATATTAAGTTACAGTGGACAATATCGTCATGGATATGATAGCGACATCAAATTGGCGTGGATGTTTATATATAGTTTGAAAGTATATGTGCAATTCTTTTTTAGAAGGCATTTCACTTATACAAGTTGGCATTGCAGTTTGACAGCTTTTGATTTGAAATAATATTAAGTACTCAGTATTAAGTATAAGTTGAAATAATCATCCACGACATTCTGACGTCGCTTGTTGGCCAGTCAGGCTATACCGAGATGCCGCCAAAATATACACTGTCTACAGATACAAGTTATGCGTACATTCACTTTTGATACTATCACTGAGGAAGAAGTTTATTAAATATACTAACTTCATTTATGGATGAGATAGGAGATTTGGGTTAATTTGTATGGAATAAGAAAAGTCTAGTCTTATCACTGACGTTATGGATTATCCGAGGAAAATATTCAAAAATAGGCCTAATACTGTCAATAGACTTATTTTCAGAATTACAGGAAAGATTACATTTTTGCAGGTGGCCCCTTTCAGGCCAAAATCCTTGAGCTACCAGTGTCATTATGATAAATAATCAGTATGCAGTACAACTGGCCCAAAATATTTTGTGTTACTTGAACAAAAAAGAAACTAACACATTAATGTAACTGTGATATATTAGGTTATCAATAAATTAATGTAGCGTTTTGGAACACTTTCATTACCCCCTCCCCAAACAAGAAAAAAACGTACATCACGTATAATAGTTAAACGAACCACTTAACTGTCACGTTAGTGTAGCCTATATAATGTGTAAAGTTTAATATACTCACTTATAGTGATGGCACACGACCAGGCACACAATATTCGGCATGTAATGCTGTTTGAATACAAGAAGGGAAATAACACCTTTGTAACCACAAAAAATATCAAAGAATCTTATGGAAATGTTTTTAACGTTTGTAAGTCAACGATGGTTTAGCAAATTTCGTTCAGGTGGCTTTAGTCTTAAAAACTGTGATGACAGGGGTCGACATATTGGAATTGATATTGCTGCTCTGAAGACGCTTGTTGAGTCTAACCCAAGGCAACACACTCGTAAAATGGTCCTGAAATTGCATGTCTCTCATGAAACAATACGTAAACATCTAAGGAATATGGGACACCTCAATAAAGAAGGTGTTTAGTTGTCTCGCGAACTCTCAGATGATCATCGTTTACCAACGTATGAACGCTGTTTCGTCTCTTTTGGCGAGTAATGCGCGTGAACCATTTTTGGACAGAATTGTCACCGGTGATGAAAAATGGATTCTCTATGCGAATATTAAACGCCAAAAACAATGGTTCAGTCCTAGACAAAACCACTTTCGATCCCAAAACCTGGACTCCATCCGCAGAAGTGATGCTTTGCATTTGGTGGGACATCAAAGGAGTAATTCAGTCCGAACTTCTCAATCCACAGCGAACTGTCAATGCAGAGATCTAGTCAGCAACTGAAACGTTTAAATCAAGCCCTTTATCAGAAATGCCCCTCACTTGTCAATGGGAAAAGTATTCTTCTTTTCCACGATAATGCACATCCACATGTGGCACGTTTGACGTAACACAAGATTATGGAGTTAGGTTGGGAAGTTCTCCCCTATCCACCATATTCTCTAGATATGGCACCATCAGATTACCATCTTTATCGTTCGCTGCAACACCATCTTAAAGGGAAAACGTATGCAAATGTGGAAAGTGTTAAAGAAGACATCAACATGATTTTTGCTTCAAATCCAAGTGATTTCTTTAATCAGGTTATTAACAACCTCATTGTGAGATGGAAAAGCGTCATCGATAAGAATGGAGACTATTTCAATTAATAAATGTTTTGTTTTAATATATAAGTTCTTCGGGCTTTTAAATCTAAAAAAAAGCGGCATTAATTTCTTGACGACCTAATATATATAGAAGAGTGCTTGTAACAGAGTGAGCCTAGTTTTATTACAGTATATATATGTACATGTCTTTCTAATTTATTGCATATAATTGTAAAGTATGTGTGCAATATCAGGTGTATTAGATGTATAAATGTTTTGCACAATGCCAATTGTTTATTTGCATATTTACATGAAAACAAAGTACTGAAATAACAGAATTTGGCTAGCATATAATTATGAATTTTACATTTAATGGTGAAAATTGTTGATTATGCTGTAGATAAATATATTCCTGTAGTGTTCTTGGAACTAATCCAGTGTAAATGTACTGTACTCAGTTGGAAGAGTCAGGCCTATGTCCTTGGTATTTCTCTACTTAATTATCAACGCCCCCCAGTGGCACAGCGGTATGTCTGCGGACTTACAACGCTAGAAACCGGGTTTCGATACCCGTGGTGCGCAGAGCACAGATAGCCCATTGTGTAGCTTTGTGTTTAATTCCAAAACAAAGAAACAATACATTACCCACATAGCCGTTTTATGAAAAAAAATATTTTAGGTATTGAGGGAAAATTGGATTTACATTTTAATCTTTTGATTAAATGCTAGTAGACTAAAATTAGTGCACAATTGTAAATTTATACAAGTTGAAAAAGGACCATTATGCACTGTACTGTAATGTCCGTGATAGTAAAATGTACTGGTCATGAAAACTTAGATAAAGTAAGACGCACAGGTACTTACAGCAAATATTGAACGTATATTATGGTGTGCAGATTAGACAACGCCAGAATAATAGAATGATAATTTGTTTTTAATTATTTAAGCATATACACGTAAATTTGGCTCATTTAAAACATACAACTTTATTTGCACATGAAAGTTTATATAATTTGTAATTTCAAAACTTGTCATATTTTTCTGAAGTCAGCATCAGTTAAATAAATATATCAGATCAAATGTAAACACTATTTTCATGCTTGAAGTTGCACGTTTTGTACTACACTGGTAATTTATGATTTTCATGTAAAATAAAATGTTTTGTAACCTGACTTTGTTATGTCGACATTCAAAGGTGAATCCCACTATGAGGAATGATATTTGGTCTTAATGGCAGGTTGATCTTGAGAACCACTGTTCTAATCATCAGAAATATTTTGTTCTGATTACAGAATAATAATACAACTAAAATACCTTAAACTGGGTTTCACCAAGATGAAAAGTTACAGTATCATGAGGAATTCTTTTTCTCTTTCTCTCTCTCTCTCTCCCTCTTTACAACAAAAGGCTGACTATTATATATCAGTTAAACTGTAATACAAATTGGAGGGTTGTAGCAAAGTTTTTCCTACACTTCAAGCCTTTAGTTATAAAACCTTGTAAACATCATTTGGAGGGAAAGGGCTCAGATTCAAAAAGATCTAGTTGTAGGTGAAGGGAGGGGAGGATAACATGACCATTCGGTTATAATTCGGTAAAAGGAGGAAAAGGGAGTATTTCAAAGAGTAACATTACTAAAATTATTGTCTTTATATCTCGTACAGTATATGTAATGCATCATTGATGAAATAGGTGTAATAATTTGTGTTACTTCTTTTGTACTTCATGTTGTATATATATTTCAAGCATTTGTATAAATTTTTTGCCACAAATTATCAAATAACTTCGAATGAATTTTATTATAGTTATAATATAAATTTTCTGAATTATTTCCATCCACTTCAATTAAAAACGTTGAATATTTGGAAGTGCAGATACATAAATGATATTCTTCTCCATCCCACTCCCTCAAGAAAAGTACATGTTGCGCCACCTCTTGTTCATTGGCAACAATACTTGAGATGTATAATTTTCTGTAACACGTAATAAAACACAGAGGAAAAAATAACATATTTTAATCTTAAGGTTTCCTCAGGGCTAACAACCAATGCATTATTCACATGACAGATCAGGTATGTGTGTTTTGAGAACGATTTTTGCACTAATTTCTAAGTTAAAACCAAGTTTAGATCATCTTGGCTTGACAAATTGATTTAAATCAAATAACAAAATTACTCAAACGTCTAGTTTAGATGGAAAGTTGTGAAGTGAGATCGCCTTTCCATCGTCAGTTCGACTAAAAGAGGATTTTGAAAGTTCAACACGTAGCAATGGTGTCCGCTTGCGCATGCCGAAAATCACGTGGCTTCCAATCTAGTTGTTACGACAGTGGGGGTCACGTGACGAGTATTCTAGAAGATTCGCTAGTGTGTTACGACACCGGGGTCACGTGACGAATATTCTAGAAGATTCGCTAGTGTGTAGCGACAGCGTTGCGTCAACTGACGCTGATAGCACGTGTTGAGAGTCTTAGAAATTTCTAAAACAGGCAGTATTATCGTATATAAGTGCGCTAGATAGTGAGAGAGACAGAGGGAGTCGAAGTAATAGTGGAGGCAGAGACGTAGTGGAGACGAAGCAGGCAGAGAGAAAGAAAGACAGCGATTACGGTCGGCGGGAACTGAGGATAGCAGACACAGAGATCGGAACTATAGTTTGCGGGGACGGACAATTAAGTCTAGGCGCGATAGAAAGTGAGTGAATTGTTGTGAACTATAGTGTGTGTAACTGTGAAAATTAAGTACATTACAAAGTTGTATTGAGGAAGAATAAACAAATTTTATAAAGAAAGGACTTGTATCGTAGAAGAATTAACAAACAAACATACAGAGACGTAACAT